GTAATCTTAAATCTTACGTCAGCAACAATGTCGTGATGAATTGGGCCACACTTTTTCTTTAATAAGCTGAGAGTCTCCCGTGATGCGGTTGGGGTTTTCTCGATGAATGCTTATTGCTTAAAGAAATGAAAGAAATGCCACTTTTCATTGGAAATGGTTTGGTTGGGTTCAACTACTAACTAATTTTTGTTGCCCTAGTTATTATAAATTAAAACTCTTTTCTCTTTTTTTGGAGCATGTTTTTTCTTTTTGCCTTTAGTTACTTTTGTCTAATATAAGTTAGAATTGTTCAAACAAAAGAGAAAAAGTGAAAGAAGAATATCTCCTTTATAATTTTTATGTTGGAAATGATATATGATTAGGAAATTATATAATATTATAAATTTATAAATTCACATAATATTTTTGATATATAATTATATAATTAATTATTTTTATTTTTTTGAATATAATTAATTATTTTTATTTAAAAATAATTAATATTTAATATTATATATATTTATTAAAATTTTTAATTTCATTTAATATTATAATTACATCACTGTCAGACAAGATATTTTGCTAAACCTAAACAATTAAATATTTTAAAAGTGGCGTGAATGCCGCGGGGACCACCCACGGATCTACCTCCTGCTATACACATATATTGTGAAAAAAAAATGGAAAAAAAAAAAATCACGGCTTATAGGCCCACTGAAGGCTTGAAGCCTGCAAACTGACCCAAATGGTGAATTTTCCTTCCAGCCCATACTGATATCCTATCAAGAGAAATTCCATGATGAGATGCAACATTTTATTATTTTTTTTACCACTTCATCCTCTATATTTATTATTTGAATACAAAATTTTTTACTTATTTTAGAATGAAAGAATGGAGATTACTACTAGCTTTTTTCTTTTTTTCTTTTAAGTTCTTTGATGCTTAGAATAGAGATTATTGCTAGCTTAGCTAAGTGGCTTAGGGCATTTTGGTATCATTCTCTCCAAGTTTTGTTGATGTAATGAGGAGCATTTTAGTAAATCCAAATCTACCTTCGAATATAGGCAATATATTAATTATAACTCCTTTGTTTGGTTGGTATCAAAATTCATGTCCTGAGTGCCAGATGGAGAGGCCTTCACTTCAAAGTAAGGAACACTCCAGAGATCCAAAACCACACACTTCCATCTGCCTTTTTGCCTTTGTTCCTCTCCATTATTCTCCAAGCAAAAACCCTTCCTAAGCCCTTAAACTTAATCCAAATTAGCATTTAGGCCGCTAAACTAAAAATGATACACATAAGCCCTCTAACTCATCAACTGTTGCAAATAAGCCCCTTTATGACTAACGGTCGTTTAACATGGACTAACTCCGCTTGGTGATGCTCATGTGACAATGTAGGTGCTAATGTAGATAAAAGTGTCTTTTTGATGTTTTTTCATTTCAATTTTTTTATATAATAATATACAGACAATATTTCTGTATAATTTTTATATATAATTTTTGTATATCTTTTTATATAATTTTTGTATGTCATTAAATAAGTTAATATATATAATATCATTAGTCCCAATTGAGTGAAAAATGTTATCATTAAATGATTATGTAAAGTTATGCAAAAAGTTATATTATAAAAATGTTGTCTCTAAATAATTTTTTTTAGAATTTTTAGAATTTTTTCGGGACCCAAAGACCCTCCACATTAGCATCTAAAACAAATGGAAGGGAAGGGAACAAACAGATCATTCCAATCGTTTGGGCCATTAGTGGAGTTAGTCATAAAGAGCTTATTTGCACCATATGAGGAGTTGCAGGGCTTTTTTTCATCATTTTTATTTCATGGGTTTAGATGCTAATTTGGGGCACGTTTAGGGGCTTAAGAAGGGTTTTGCCCATTCTCCAAATCTCCTTCCATCCTATATTAACTTTCTCCTCCTTTCTTCGCAGCTGCCTCTTCCCCCTCCCTCCCTTTCCCTTGTCTTGTCTTCTCTCATCTTCTCTATGCTTTTGCTATGACTGCAAGAGTATGACAAATTTTTCCCCCACAAAAATGGGCAAAAAAATCTTCATCATCTTATTCATTCTCAGCTCAATTCTCCTTTCCCTCCTCTATATCCCAACCAAACTTACCATTCCCATTACAACTTTCAACCCCATGATGACATCCTTAAACATGATCCAAAAATCCAACAAGACTTATCCAGTTACCTTTGCCTACTTAATCTCTGCATCAAAGGGTGATTCATACAAGTTAAAACGCACCTTACGCGCGCTTTATCATCCTGGAAACCACTACCTAATTCACCTGGACCGTGAGGCGCCGAAGAGGGAGCATAAGGACATAGCTGAGTTTGTGTCCAGGGATCCAGTTTTTGGCATTGTTGGGAATGTTTATATTGTTGGGAAACCAAACCTGGTCACTTACAGAGGTCCTACAATGCTTGCTACTACTCTTCATGCAATATCAATGCTTCTGAGGTGCTGCAGATGGGATTGGTTCATTAATCTTAGTGCTTCTGATTATCCATTAGTAACCCAAGATGGTATGGTGAGTGGCCTTATTTTTCAGTTTATCATATGTTTACCAAAATTCCTCAAAGGACTTGTTTGTTCATTCTTGTTTGCTTTTTTCCAGTGTCTGGATTCTTACCCATTTTTCTTTCTTATTTTGGGTTTCAGATCTGATCCATGCCTTCTCTGACTTGCCAAGACATCTCAACTTCATACAGCATACAAGTCATTTGGGCTGGAAAATGTAAGAAAGTTCTGCTGTGATATCCCCTTTTTCAGTTCTTTTTCATTTTTAATTTGCAGTACTTTTGATTTTATGACATTTTCTTCTCTGTATTATTAAAGAGAATGTTCATTCTGATTAAAAAATTTGCCAGGAACAAGAGAGGGAAACCAATCATCATAGACCCTGGTCTTCACAGCCTCAACAAATCAGAGATCTGGTGGGTCATTAAGCAAAGAACTCTTCCTACTTCCTTCAATCTCTATACAGGTTTTTCCTCCATACCCTTCTG